CTGCCAAGGCCAGACCCCAGCCAAGCATCACTTGCTCTTGAAATAAAGTACAGATAGGGTGTAAGTGGTACCTCAGCTCTGTCTGGGGCTCTGCAGTTACTCTAAGTGCTGTTAATGTGGTTACTATTCGCAGAAGGTTACAGATCTACCCACAAGTTACTAGCTGTACTCCTATCTTCTAGTTATCTAAAAATAAAACTGAGCTTTTTTCCACAACATATTACCAGGTATTTTCTGTTACTTCTGGGATTTTGCAAAGTATTGTCACAGTGGGTTCTTGTTTGTTGGGGTTTTTTTCCTCCCTTAAATTAAATGATTCCTAGAACAAAACAATAATTGAGTATCCTTTTGTATTAAATGGTTTCTCTTAACACTTGGAGATCTTTCCCTCAGTTTCTAAAGTTTATCTGTAAGTTTGGCTTACATGAGGAGTTACAAACCAAATCAAAACCACAACATGATTCTGAAGTGCTTTATGGAGTTGGGTATTATTTGATCCATTTTTCATACTGGTCCCCACCACTGTGTAGGGCAAAGCCTGAGTCTAGCCCTGTCTCCCTTATGGTAATCACCAATTCACAGCATCCTTCACAGGACCTTCTCCCAGCTCAGCTTAGCTAGTCAGTGCTGTAGAGGAACTGTATGGATTTACTTTTTACTTTTTTTTTTTAGTAAAGGAAAACCTCTCCAAGGCTCTTGATAACTCAAAAAGCAATTAACAAATCAATTCAATTTCTGAAATAAGAAAATACCGGGTTCACCAGTCAGGCGATCACCAGTCAGGTGGCACTGCCAGAAATCCTTTTCAGTGTTTCCCTCATCCTGGGGACCAGACTTTTTCCCCCCTACAAAACTTGAATGTCTCCAAAATTTAGCTTTAGAAGTAGCACTGGAAAACCAGCAAATTCAGATCAGTCTTGGTTGGAGTTTCCAGCATCCCAGTGTGTCATGGTGCCCCTAGAGAGATGTTCCCTTTTCCAGCAAAGGTGCTCCAGCACACATTGCTGCTGCCAGTTGCTGTGACAGTGCAGCAGGGAGAGTCAGACGCTCATTACAGCCAATTGTGGGCCATCCAGTTTTTTATGGGAAGCAACCAACACCCAAAACTGCACCCAGAAACCTATGAGCCATAGGACTATCCTGGAGGGGCATGGGCATCGTGTGCCCCCAAGGAGATGGCCCCTTGAACAAATGCACTGGGCTTCTGCAGTGGCTGCTGTCTCTGAGAGGGTTTAAGATGTGACCTCAGGAAGGTCCAGTGCAGCAATCTAAATCTGCCAGGCTGGGAAATGTGGGTAACCCCGTCAAAGGCAGTGTTGCAAAACTGTGGCCCTTTCCAGCAGAAGAGTTCCCAGTGCATCATTACTGCTGCATTGCCTGTCCTTGAACTCCTCCAGTTAAGTCACTGTTTTCCCAGCACTCTCCATGGGATAACATAGCACAGCTCCAGGGAGGCTTAAGGTCTCCTTGAGAAGCACTGTCAATCAGTGGCTGAATGAAGATTCACATATTAGATGGCCTGTTGGTCTAATTCAGTACATCCTTGTCTATGTCTGGGGCAGAAGCTCCACTTTCCTTCCAAATATGATTGTTTTGGAAAGGAAAAGCAAGGCAGAACATGTATGTCTGCTGAGGCAGATCAGACTGCTCACCCTGATGAAAGCCAGGGTGTCCCCACAGCTGTGCCATGCCTCCCTGTCCCAGCAGCACAGAATCACAAGTGGTGAGAGGTTACCAACACACACCCAGGACATCCCATTCCCAGCATCCTGGCTGGTGTTGAGGGAAGAACAATAACAGCAACCTGTGGAAGGGTGTGCTGCTGTCAGCAGCATCCTGCACCCATCCTGCACCTGGCACTGGCATAGGGAGCAGCACTTCAGACAGACACTGCCAGCTCTTGGGCCACCCTCCCAGCAGCAGACTGGGCCCTGCAAGGACACACATCTCTTTGTGCCCTGGTGCGTGGAGTGCACAGCTCTCAAAATCCCAGGAAGAAGTGGGGCAATGGCTGAGGTGTCGCCAGACTCTCCCATTACGTTGATAGGCATAAGTATGGCACCACTGCACTGGCACTTCTCCCTGCAGCTCAAGTTATCTCCAGAGTGCAAGTAAGGATGCATTTCCCACAAGGGAAAGCTGGCAGGGGCCGTGACACCCCCATCCCCCCCATTTGAAAGGCAGGAGTGATGAGGTAGGGTTTTCTACACTGAGGGCTCTCTGGCAAGCTCTGTTTATGGCTTTGATGCCAAACACAAGGTACAATTCCTATTACAGCTCTCATTTCCCTGCAGTTTAATCCAAGTGCGTCAGTGTAACCTGACATCACAGGCATGTGAGCTGGAAACGTCCACTTGGTGTTGAGTCACAGACAGCACCTCAGTGGTGCTTTGGATGCCAGCACCACTGGATCCTGACACGCCACAAAAGCCAGGACAAACTCCAGCACTGAAGGGATTACACACGGCCATTGGAACCACATCCACCCATTGCACTGCTACTCCTGAGATAAGGGAATTGTGCAGGACATGTCCTGGCGAGCAGCATGGATGGCATGGGCAGGGAAGGATGGGGAAAGGCAGAGAGGGGGTAGGGAAGGGATGAAGGAGGCAGGTGCTGGCCTGACCCACCTGCACAGATCCCACACAGTCACCAGCCCCGTGCTCAGGCCGTGTGTGCTGAGCTGTGTGGGCAGGGCTGGCAACACCTGAAAAAGCTCCTTTCAAGACAAAGGGCTTGCGTTAAGGCAGGGCTTGCACTTCTTTCTCCCAGCACACATCTGGTGTCAAGACAAAAATTCCTTTACACTTTTTAATGGTTTTTTTTTCACTTGAGAATACCTCAAGGGAAATTCTGAATACCTTGCTGTATGGGTTCATTGGTATTTATATCTGAGCTGCAGTAGCAGAGTTGTGTGAATGTTCCAGGCAGAACTGAAATAAAACTAATTGAGTTTCCTCATCGAACAGAGCCTGCTTCCCCACCTAAGTAGTAATTCTCTATTCAGGGAAGCAACCGGGGCTTAATGTGTTCTAATCTGTTCATTTCCTTCTCTTTTATTGTCTTGGGTTTTTTTTCCCCAAGAGGATTGTTCCATTTAGAAATTATTAAAATGCAACCAAACTCTATTTCAGAAAATCATTTCAAAATTAAAACGAGTATTTAAATACTGCTGCACCTAAGCATGGCAATCGTTTTCAGCATCCTCTGATAAAGCTTCTAGAAAACATGGTACATTTTTTTCTGGCCTGAAGTAGCACAGAATCAATTTTCTACACAAAATAATGTGCCCGGCACTATTTGAGATTTGATCTCTTAGTATATAATTGTTCAGGTAACACTCATGAAAAACGCTGCCTTGATACCAAGTGGAAGCAGAAGAGTTTTGTTTTTCATCAGTGATTCAGTGTCAAAAAAGCAGTGCTGACTTTCCTTGTCTGTTGTCAGTGCAGTCCCCCAGAGGGCCTGGGAGGCAGCCAGGGTGAAGGGGAATTCTGTTTCCATGACTCATCCATTCCTGGGCTGCAAGCAGAGACAGCCAGCAAGTGGTCAATCAGTGGCAATTGTCATGGGGAGCTGATGTGGATGCTCAGACCATCAGCATATTTCACAAGAGCCATTCAAAAGAGCTTCCTCTTCAGGAAAGTGGAACCAAAAGCTGTCTCTAAACCTGAAAAATCCTACCTGTATTTCTTACCTAACCCCAACCTCAACAGCCTTCTGCTGTGTCATTTATTTAAAAGTGGGTTTGCACAGTATTTTTAGCAATTTTGAGAGTAAATCAACTAAAGCACTAAGTGAGTAATATAGCAAAGCCAGGTAAGAGCCAGGGCTGTATACATCAGGCAGAAAAAAACAAGTGTGCTTCAGAATAGGAATATTTTAGAAAGTATTGTAGGAGAAAAAAAAATTTAAATTATTCAATTCTCTAATAAAGTCTTTCTGTAAGTCTTCCCTCTATGGCACATTGTGTTCTCAGTGCTCCTTAAAGTTCATAAGAACAAAGAAATATGTTCAGCAAAATAGACAATAGCACTATGCCTCAAAAACCACTATAAGTTCCCCACACTTGTTCGGGGAGGCTTCCAGCAGTCCCACACAGAACTGCATTTATCTATGCTCTATCTTAAAAGGCAAGTCTTATTTCCACCAGACATCTTTCCAGCCCGCCCCTTGAGCCAAGCCTCCACTGAGACAGTAAAATAAAAATCATGTGTATTTATCTTTTGCTGGGTAGCTCTCAGTGCTCTGCACGTTGCCGAAGGAGCTGGTGCTCATGACCTGACTGGTTGCCCATGCAGTGCCGGGGAGGCAGCAGTGATGGCAGGGCAAGGGACCAGCAGCCCATGGGAGCAGCGAGCACACACTGAGGATGTGACTGCTGGCCTGGAAAACGAGGTCCCTTCGGCAAAGCAGCTCCCCAGATCCGTGAGACAGATCTCAAAATCCTCCGGGGCACAGAGTCCTCCGTCCCTCCCCGGGTCACAGCAGGCACTAAGGGCCACCGTGCCGCATGGCCCGGGGTGTGCTGGGCTCCATGGGGGCTGTAAATGGGCACTTAGCATCCGTGTGCTGGATGGCCCTACTTCTGTTGCTATGCATGCATTCAGCATTTAAATCCGGCTTGATTTCCCTCTGAAAGCTCACATTGCAACTAAAAACAAACCACCAAAACGCAAATATTAAAAGCAGGGGGTGTTTTTAAGAACAATTTTGTAGCACAGCAAACTTCAAGAAGGGGTAAACTCACGCGTGCTAGGTTCTGTACAAATACAAAGGCAGTCCTTGAATGAATATGGTCCCACATGATCTTCTTTTGTCCAAAGCATAAGGAAGCAGCTCCAGAAGACTGGTAATCTTTTTCCATGGTGCTATCCAGGTCTGAAATAACTGGGGTGTGGTAAATCTGTGCTGACGTCAATGAGAGAAGGTGTTTTGAAGAACCCAGGACAGGGAGAACAAATTAAAACCAGAGAAGTTTGCTGACTGTTACACAAGAAAAGCCAACTCTATTCTCTGATTCTTCTTTTTGTGACTGTAGAAATTCTCATTATAAATTACAGAAAGGAGGCCGGAAGGCCAGAGCCAGTATGCTTTGCCTCAGTGAAGCAGCAGTAACCAAACAAGAAGACTGGCAATGAACCAGCCATGATGAAGTTTAGTATCTTGAGATTCAGAGCTCCACCTGACCAACAGCTGGCCCCTATTTGTGATACAGGATGAACCTAAACCTCACAGCCACATCAATTGAATTGGGGTCAGCTGGGAGTGGGACTCCGTACCAAACCACATCACCGGTAGCACCGTCCTCAGGGCAGTGACAATGTCTTGGTTTGACCTTTTTTTCCCCTCTCTCAAAGCTACAGAAAGCTGTGGAGCAGACTTGTGGTACTTGCTGGGGACAAAAGCCTCCTTTGCTTGCTGCATTCATTTGCTAAATAGCATAACAGCCTGTCAGGAACGTTCTGAAACATTGTTTGGGCTTGATTTTTATATTCCTTTTCCTCCAGCAAAGTACCTGCAAGTTTAGTACAAACAGATCAACACAGTCAAGCACAGCTTGCAGCCTAGCTACATGCTCAAGTCTTGAACTACTGAGGTTTTGGATGATGTCAGTCTGGTCTCCCGAGGGCTGCTGTTGTCATCAGATAATGGGGCTGATAAGGCACATGTTATGATGAGGCGTGCTGCTGGGTTTAATCATAGTATCGTGCATGAAGTAGGAAAGAAAGCGGTGTATTTCCTGGTACAGTACCTTGATAAGGCTCTCACTGCTTCATAGGTATTTCCACCACACTGTCCTCTCGGCTCAGCACGCTACAGATTGCTGACAATCTGAAAGTACAAACAGTGCTAGGGTGCAAAAACCCAGTTCCTCCATCAAAAACATGTTTATTTGGAACTTTTTGTTGCTTTTCCCCATCTCAGTTTCGCTCGCTCTCTTTTGTGTTTTTTTCCTTTTTTCTTTTTTTTCTTTTCTTCTTTTTATTTTTTTTTTAATTTTTATTTCATCTTTTACAAAGCAGGACCCAAAACAGCTGTTGAATGCTGGACAAAGAACAGCCAGTTTATAGAGCAGGTTTTTCCCTGTCCCTCATTCTCCACTGCATTTGGGAATCACCTGAAATTTAGCACAGCCTGTGAGTTTGGGGCCCTTGGCTGGATTTGAAGGCTCTAGCCCCCACCAGCACTTGTTTCCAGACTGCTCAGATGCTCATTGCTGAACTGCAGTTTCTTCCTCTCTTCCTGGTTTATTTCATATTGAGCATTATGATTTGTTTTACTAGCAGATCAAATGATAGCAGTTCAAGGACCGATTCCATATGTCAGAGAGCACTGAAAAGGAGTTGGTACATTGCCTTTATCTGGAGCTGGACTGGATTTTACTTTCTAGCATTCATGTTTCTTGTCCTTTTTTGGACACTTTTTTTTGTTTTACTTAGATGAAGAAGAGGAACAGGATGGATCCCTGATCAATTTTCATTGTCACCTGTGGGAAAGAGTCATGGCAGTCTTAGTCCTACCAGAGGGAGCACAGAGAAAGACGTGCAAAAATTGAAGAAATCCTCATTTCTGCCAGCTCTGGCCTTTTCACAGTTAATCTCTATGTACCAGAAAAAGGGGCATAATATATTCTTTTGAAATTCTCATTATATAAATTGTCATCTTGGACCTTGCTACCTATCCCTCAGTGAGGATCATCACTGCTTTGTCACGGAGCCTCCTTTCCAGGGCAGAACTTGATTCTAAAATGTTGGTGATATGGAGGCCACTGGTGAGGGATGGTGGATGATCTGATTTCAATAACTTGCAGAGTTATTCAGAAAGGTGAAGCAGTGCATGGTGGAAGGCTTGCTGTACTTTTCTACGGTGACCAACACTAGGCAAGGCAGCTGCTGATACAACAGGGAGATGACCATTTGTGATGAACAAGGAGAGACTCTTTCTTTTCCCAGTGCATGTTTGCCCCCTGGAAATGAGCTGATCAGGGAGGCCACAGGACCAAACTCTGCAGCTGAATTTTTTTAAAGCCAGATAATTTTATGACCGCTGTTAAGCGCTGTAATTTACTTAAACCAAGATAATGGTAAGTGGAAACAAATCAACTCTGTGTTTCAAAGCTGCTGTTCCCTGGGGACAGGGAATAATGTCTCTCCTTCAGGGAGGGAAACCGAAGGGCAGGAGTATGGGTTCCTTTGAGTGCACTGGTGGGGGTCCCAGGCTGCTCCAGCCTGACAGTGGGGTGACAGCCCAGGGACCCCGGGTGCTGTGAAGCACAGTGCTAATATCAGAGCTAGTTACTAGACATTATGTATGCACACTTATTCACACGTGCAACCCACTGGGGATAAACTCTGCATAATCAGGTACCCACCACTGGCAGGCTGTGTGAGGGGAGCCAGGATGCCCCAAAGTAATGGAGCAGGGACCTGGTTGGCAGCACAATGCTGTGACAAGAGTCTGATTCCCACTGGATTCCTAGCAGAACCAGTATAATTTGAAATAGCGCTTTTCTCCTGACCTCATCCCACATTAGGCTGGGAAGGTTAAATTTACCACCTCAAGAACCAAAGGCACCAAGTGCAGAACCTGAAAATGAAAGTCCAGGGTGGGTCTAGGATATCCTATATTTTTATCAGGCATGGGAAGAGAAGCATGAAAAGGTTTTGAAAATTACATTCTCTGGGAACAGGCTGGAGAAGGGAACAGCTGGCAGGAAAGCTGAAAGGTAAAACCACACGTGCAATTTTGCAGGATTTTGTCTGGAAGCTGGGATCCAGTCTTGTTAATCAAAGGCAATGGGACAAAAAGTGGCCACAAACCCCTGTAGGAAACATTCAGGTTCAGTAAGGTCACATACAGAGAAGTTAAAATTGTCTGAGCCTGAGCGTTGTAACTCCCTTGCAAGGGAATGTTGTGCACATCTCGGTGCTGGAGACATTCAAGGCTATCAATAGTCAACTCCCTCTGCCTGAAAGGTGGTTTGAGAATCGTGAGTTCAGTCCTGTCACAGTTAAAAGAGAAGTCTGAATGACTCACTAGAAGTCCCTGCCAATCTGGATGACACATTGATAACCCCACAGGCCATGGACCATTGGCCTCCCACAGCTGTCTGCCCTCAATTTCTTACCAACTGCTCGCTTTTGAAACAAACTTTTACATGTTTTCAAAACATCTCCTGCTCTGTTTTCATCCACACTGGAAGCGTTTTTCTGGTCAGAAAAATTGCTGGAAGAAAGAAAATATCTTGGTCAGCAAATTCAGTCAATGAATCCAAAGCTCTTCTAGCTCTTTAGCTGAGCACCCTGAAGAGAGGGTGCATTAGATTTGTTCTCAGCTTTTCAATCTCACTATAAGTTTATAAGTATAATAATGGGGGGAAATGGAGTTATTTGTGAACACAGCACAGAATATCTGAGTCTCAGGGAAAATAAACAGGGAGCCTCTGCACATTTTCACTGCCATCCTTTTTCCAAGCAAAAGTGCACATTTTACACTCTGCTGTGGCCTTTAACAAAAGCTCTCCTCATATCTTGTGACTGTAACTTCTCAGTAAATCAGAACTTTGCTGGTGCTCCAAAGCCCTAGCAGCATCTCCAGAGCTGTGAAACACAGTGTATTCTCTCCACGTAGCTGTAATCAAGGTAAATCACAAAGGTTCCCACCTGAGACTGCTCAAGAAATCTCTTTATAGCAAACACTGCAAGAGCTTTAAGAGTTTCATTGGCGTTTGTTCCATATTGCTTAACGTGTCCTTAGGGGCCGTGGCTACCATCCCAAACAACATTTCTATGGCTTGCGTGGCTACATCCTTTTCCTGTGAATCAATGTTGGCATCTGCTCATCCAGAGTATTCAGGAGAAATATTTGCTGTTGCCTGGAGACTATGACAGGAGAAAAAGTATCAGGAGTCCTGAATTATTTTTGCAGCTCTTTCTGTGATACCGTGCCTCTGCCGAGCAATCCCCTTTACCTGGCAGTCGTATCTCTAATAGGATTTTAAAACCTGTGGAATAGGTACAGATATATTTGCCGAGTGCCCAAAATACCTGGAAAGTCCTCCTGGGCCCACATGTGAAAGGCATCATGTAGAAATTACAAAACACATCTGCAGGGGCCAAGCAGACTCGATGTGTCTTTGTCATAGGGTCATTGCTTGCACTCTGCGTGCCCCGGGGAGGGAGACGAGCCCTGCAGGGAGCGCAGGGCTCCGTGGAGAGCCCCGGACAGGCTCATTCGCTGAGCAGTGGGCTGGTAGCACCGGAGCTACTGCAAACACGCCCTGCCTACGGCCGTGCCTCCACCCGGGACTTTAAATACACACAGAAACGCTGCCGGACCCTGAAATGTTTCCACCGACTCCAGTTGTTAAAACCTTTCACATCCCACCGGCAACCACTCACACATGTGGGGGATGAGAAAACTTCCTTCCACCCAGAGGTGCAAGAAAACTCTGGAGCTGGCAGTCACGTGCTCCACAACAGCCTTACAACCCGCAGGATCCTGGATGGAAAAATTTCACTTCCATGTGTTGACTAAGTTAATGTGGTGGGGATCGTGGGCGGACATAAAACGAAACTATGAAAAGAGATTAATTTGCAGCTGGAGCCCAGGCAGGGAGAATTCCAGTCCTCTGTTTGCTCAGAAAAAGGCAGCTATTACCAAAACTCAGTCAAAAAGAAGAGGTTAGGGCAGCGGTAATAAAAAAAAAAAAAATCAAAACCGGTGGGGAGGTAGGGGGGGAAACAGCAAAAGTGAAACAAAGCCTCTCTGGAAATTAACATGTGGAATTCAAAACATTTGCAGTATAATAAACCCAGGCAAGCCCGTAAAGCTGCCCTGGCCAAAAGGAGCTGCGCTGTGCCTGGGAGGAAAGCGGAGCTGGAGCAGCCGCGCTCCCGGCGCGCTGCCCTCGGCTACGGGAGAGCGCGTCTGCTCCACTCCAACCCTCCGCTCAGGAGCAGGAGGATATAAATCAGCTGCGGAGCTGCCCACAGGGCTTAGTCACAGCAGGTATTAGTTTAGGGTGTCTTAGAGGAACTTTTTTTTTCCCCTGTAAGTCTTCTAGGGAATAAGCATCGACTTTGTGAGGAAAAGGCGTTGCTGAATGGGCCAAAGAGTGTCTAAACAAAGGACATTTTACATCACAGAATCATCTTCGAACATTTTGGACTGATCTCAGCCTCGAGGGCAAGAGCTGCTCTATGATTTCCCAGCAGACGCTTGAAGTGTTCCCACGGAGCCAGTCTCACCATCTGTCCCAATTTTCCCAGCCCAAGAGACCCTCTACAACTCCTTCACCCATTCCTCCCACCTAACTCCTTCCTAACACTGGTTTTGTTGCTTTCTTCCTGCTTATGGCTGGTTCATACTCCTTAAAGTGCTTCTGCTATGAGCTCCTCCTGACCACTCTTCTGTGGGGTCAAGGTAAGAAAGGCACTATTCTTCACTCTTAAATTTTTTGCCTATTTTCACTTCACTCACCACATTTTTGCTTGTTGCCAGAGCATCTGGTCACTCAGCACACCACCTCTGTGCAGCAGAACTGCCTCATCAGCCCCACTGCATGGTACCAGACCTCACACCTTCATGTCTGCCTGTTGCACTGTAGGGCACAAGGAGCCTCCCTGAAGCACAAGTCCCTCTCTCTCTCCCAGGCAATGTTTTTGTGTCATTGCTGCCCCTGGACATGGCTTCAGCCTCCAGTCTCCACAACACCCCCAGCACTGAAGTCAGGAGCCTCTTTGTTCACACACTGACCACAGCACCTTCTCCCAAAGCCTCTTTCTCCAGACTCAAGCACATGCTAGCTTTCCCCAGCACAGACCACACAAATTGCACCAATTAGTAAGTGTAAAGGGCATGCTGTGGTTTTTGCCTGGATTACTGCATCTTAATAGTCATTCATATCCTTGGCCATGGTCATCAGATAGTATCCAGTAGGCTGCATTATCCAGACCTTCCCCTCAATTTGATGCTCTTGAGCCCCCACTGGAGAGACCCAGTTTATTTGCCTTCATGCACTAGAACACACGTAGTCTTCAGACTCTGGACAGCAATGGCTTCTGTCTCACCCATGCTATCCCCACGCTGTGTGGACTCAATCTCTGGCTCTCGATCTCCAACGGTGACCCCATCCTTTCCTGCCCCACTGCCATCTCCCCTCTGCTGTGCAAAGGCCTGGCTCAGCCTGTTCTTCCTGAGGTGATTTGCAGCAGCAGCCCAAAGTTCCATCCACGCACCACTGCGTTACTGCATAGGAACCATACGGACTGAAAATTTGAGCCAGCTTCTAACAGTCTTCCAAGCATATTTCTTCTAATTGTTTCCCTCTCTGCCTCCCAGTTTCATGACTATACTGTTGAGACAAACTCTGTCAGGACCAGGAACTTGGAAAATTTCAGGGTTCCTTCTATATGGTATTTTTTGTCACTTGCAATCTGGCACACCATATCTATGTACAAGTGATACTAAACAAAGGTTGGCCTAAACCAGACAGTTAAGCTCCCAAATGCCTTTAAAAACAAACCATCAGCAACAACAAAGAACCCCTATCTGACTTTTCATCTCTCTCCTGTGACGTTCAGGAAATGAGACGGCTCCCCTGCTTCTTCAGGCCCTAATTGCAGAACTGAAGGTGTTTTGGCACAAAAGCCACAGCTACCCATAGCAAAGAAGTGAGTAGTCAATAGTGTCTGTGGACACATAGCTGTTGCAGGAATTGGGAAGGAGGGAGGCAGGTACCAGGGTGGGATCTGAGCCACCTGGAGCTCTGCAGATCAGTCATCACATTATTCCATACCAAGAGACAACTGGCACAGCCAGCCATACAATATGGCTCTAATTTCCAAGATATATTGAGGGTGGATAGCACTAGACTCACCTGACTTCAAAGCGAAAAAACAGCAAATGCTTGTAGCCCAGAGATATGGACCAAGTCCCTTCTCAGAAGGAGCCCACAGCAATCTCCCATGACAACAACAAAATGTATGCAAAGAGAAGGCAGAGCCACCATAGGTGTCCCCCTGCCCACAGTAAGAACTGTAAGTGCAGCCTGTGAAGTGTACAGAGGCACACTTTGCCATGGTACCTTTACAGGCATCTTGTTCCTGTGGGCGCTTCTCTCTGCCCTGCCACAGCAGGCACGTCAGCAGCAACTGTGACAATGCACAGGCCCAGCCCTATTTTATGGCCACTCTGAAAGTCCCATGCACTAAATCAGTAAGCCAGAGTGAAGGAGTCCTCAAGTCAGAGGAATGTGTGTCCCAGAACTATCATGTCAGAATAGGCTGTTTATAGTTTTCTGAGCCTTGGCTAGGCTATTACCAGCCATGGTAGGTTCACCTAAACAACCTTGTGAGAAAGAGCATGGACAACTCATCCATAATCAATACAAGGATGGAAAAGTCTCTCTAGAGTATCTGCTGCCACATACCAAAGCTGCAATAAATCCTAATGGTATCAGATCAGGTAAATCCTTTCACTGCTGAAGGTTCTTGCATCCTGTTCTGCTCTTCTCTATCCCCTGCATAAACCAGCTCAAGGTTAGTTTCAAAAAGCAAAGCACAGAGTGACCGAGAACATATCATCAATAAAATCACAGGAGAGAAATGGTGCTGGCTTCCCGGAATCAGTGCACTCAAAGGACAAGGGAAGTACCCAAGTACCATGAGCAAAGATCTACTTTTAGCACAGCTTCCTGGTTGGTTGTCATACCAATAGCATTGTGCAACTGATACAGCTATTTTCTTCATCAATTATTAACTGGTCAAAGACTATTTGTTTGAAGAGCTGAACAGAAAGTCCAGAAAGGAAGCAAGCAGTTTCAAGGCTCCATGTGTGTGCCCTGCAACAGGCTTGAGATCCCCTCCAGATCAGATAGTCTCACTCTTCAGGAGCCAACAGCTTGATTCCCAGCAGCAGAAGAGGCACACCTGGGCACTTGCTGCAGCTGGGCACGAGTCTCTAAGGCAGAACCCATCCCTCACATGGGGCTCATTGCCTTTATGCCCAGGAGCAAAGCTGCAGTCAATGGTACTGCTGAAGGCCAGCTGTGCCTGAGGCTCTTCTCTCAGGAATCAGCACACAGATCACATCATGCACTAGTTTACATCAGTATCTGCCGAAGTCTCCACATAGCTTTTGCAGCAGCAACACTCTTCTTCCCCCATCTTTCCTCCACCCAGCTCAGACCACACAAGTGCATAGAACTAACAGCAGAGAAGGTTGGTTCACTAGTGTAAGCCTTGAGGTATCCTACAGCTTTTGTTTGGCAGGAACTTTTCCAAAATGAATTAGGAAATCTGAACATTGAGGCATGTTAAGACAGCTGAAGGATTGGTGGTTCAGCGGCAACATTTCAGACTCAGTTTGGAAGCAAAATCTTCCTCCATAGGAGAGCTCAAAGGTGAAAACACAAGACTTAACACCATGAGCAGTGCTGGCAAGGATGTGTTCCTAAACAAAATCAATGGCCCAAGAAGTTTCTGGGATTGCTGATACTTCAAGATGTACAAGGGCTTAAACACGATAGTGGGGTGATGCGTGCGTACACTTGAGCCTTCGCTGGGGTTCCGTGCTCCTCTCCCCCACAAGGCACCAAACAGCCCCTCTGTGCAAGCAGACCAGTACCACTAACAAGCCAGGACTGAGATTATATCCCATTTTATCTTCAATATCCCACTTCAGCCTCACTCAAAACACACATAAGCCCTCCTTGAAGGGCAAGGAGCTATGCAGGAGCACACAAGGCACACAAGCAACAAAAGCCAATCTCAGTTTAAGCCATGCTCATCAGAAAGAACTTGTCAGGAACAGAGTGAATGACTCAAGCACTCCGTAAGAGACAGAGGAGGTTAGAGGCCACCAGGGTAGGTCACATCAGGTATTTGCTGCCACTGATCTGCTCCCAAGCACTTGCAGGGCTAACCCACTGAATCAGCGAGGAACGATGGAGGGATGCCTGGGCACACTGTGGGCACTTCAAGGGTCAAGAGAAGGGAAGCACCTGCATTTGTGGGGTTGTCTAAAGCCAGCCCCTCAATTTTTGCAAGTAAAACCAGCTCCACTGTCAGTTTCTTGAAAAAACTTGGGGTTTATTGATTTAAACTGCAAACAGTCATTACAAAAGAGATTCTCTTTTAAATAAACTCACACAAAGAGGAAGAAAAAGCAGTGTAGCAAACAGTAACAGGGGGGAAAAAAATTACATTCATTATTCTCTTTGTGCCAGTCCCATTCACCTTGGCAAGGAAAACTCCAAACTTGGAATACAGAAATGCAAAGACAAACTGTATTTGGAATGTCTTCAGATAGGCACTTTGAGCCCAAGGCTTTTCTCCTTGAAGAATCTATACAATTAGAGGAAGAAAAAGTCTTCCTTCCACGCTGTCTCGCAAAAGAGCCCAGGTATGTACATTCTAAAGCCCAGGTAGGCAAGACCTGGGAGAGGAGAAGAGAAGGAGAAGAGAAAAGGCAAAGATGCACAACAACTCCATTTGCAGTCCAACACAAAAAAAGGGGGAGGGAATTCTAAAATAAATAATCCAAACACAGTTTTTGCATTTTTTTTAAATTAATTTTTCATTTTTTAAAATAAAATAACCAAAAAAAGTGTAAAGTTACAAAAAATGTCATTGTAGTATAATATATTAAACTGTGGGGAAAAAAGGAAAAAAGACACTTCACAATCTTAAGATTAATATGGAAGATCATAATTTAAACATAAAAGAATATATTCTATGGATTCATCATCCCGATAAATATGAACAAAATTAAAAAGCAAAGGTTTTGGCAATAAATACGTTTTGATAAGTTAAATAAGCTTTTTATATTGTTGTGCAGTGACAAGCAAAATTTGCTCTCCAATTTCTGAAAAGTTATACAAAATTAAAAACCCAGAAAAAATAATAAAAAGCTTGGCGTGAGTGCTCTAAGATAGGTCTAAAGTACTCTAGAGCAAAACCATTAAAGCTATGTCTACTCGAACTTTGTTTACACGAACTTGTGTGTGTGGAATGACTTCTGTTGGCCCCACCCCTCTATTTCTTTATTTGTTTTAAGATGTCACATGTATACATGGGGAACTTTTAGCACCAAAATCAAGTCTCTCATAGTCCATCTGTTTTTTTCTTTTCTTTTGTTTTCTTCCTCCCAGTCGAAGTCCCACTCATGTTACAATCTTTGTCCGTTCTCAGCTTTTCTTCCCGCAGACCTGAGCGGATCCAGGCAAGATTTAGTCTTTAAGGGGAGGGGAGAAAGGACTGGATGTTAACACTTGCCCACATGCCTGCAGCCTAGCAGAAACTGGCCATTTGGGAAGGGACTGGGAGAGGGCGATGCAGTACATGGCCAGTGGAGGGAGCCGGATTCGGACATTTCCTGCACATCTGGAAGTGCACAGAGCTGCTGGTGCCCTCTGCAGCTGGAGAGGTAATACAGTCACAGTGAAAAGTGTTAAAAGGCACTATTTTGTAAACGTTATTGCTTCTCATCGTAATTTTGGCACTTAAGGTTTAAGCCAGTGCGTGTCAGGCAGGCAGGTGGACATGTTAACATCCAGCTTGGACTACTGGGGACAAGGTCGGGGGGAGTTCAGCTTAACATTGTAATAGAGGTGGGGAGGGGCAAGAGGAAACCCCAGATTAGTCGTCGGAGATGGAGAGTCTGCTGAAGATGGGAAGACGTCTTGAGGTGTCCAGGATAGGGGAATCTGAGCCGCTGTGGCTGCTGCTGGAGCTGCTCAGATAGCCCTCCTGGTCAGAGAGGGAGTCCTGAGGACTGGGTGGCGAGTCAAATATGTTGGGGGACTCGGACATGGGCCTGAACAAGAAGGTGGTGGGGGAGCTCCCGCTGGGCACCTGCACCCCCATGCTGGGGGCAAAGAGACTGACCAGCTCCTGGCTGGAGAAGGTGAAAGGGTTGCTGGCGCAGTCAGGCAAGGTGGGAGAGCCCAGCAGGTCGTCGGCGCTCAGCATGGGCGGCGGTGTGATGGAAGTGGGGCTGTCCAGCAGCCCGCTGGCAGCAGTGCTGGGGAAGCCGGCGAAGCTGAAGCTGTGCTGCAGGCGGGGTCTGTCGGTGACGGCGGGCTCCCGGCTCCCCGCCACGGCGCGGCGCTCCTCCGCGTTGTGGATGAAGTGGCAGCGCGGCCCGTAGGGGCAGAAGCCGATGGTGTGGAAAGTGCGGCACAGCTCGGTCTTGTACTTGGGGTGGCGGGTGAGGCTCCGCAGCTCGTGGATGCCGTGGGCGAACTGGCACTTGTCACCGTACTTGCAGGCGCCGTTCTCCTCGAAGGGGCGGCACAGCTCCGTCTTGTAGCGGCTGGAGTTGACCTGTCCCCCGGGCTGCTTCTGCTGCAGTAGGCGCTCGCCACCCTCGGAGAAGGAGCGGTCCCGGAAGCGGCTTTCCCGGGGCCCCAGCATGGGAGCCGGGTCCCCTTTCAGGCTGCTGAGGAGCTGGTTCTGGTGAAACTTGGAGTTGGGCAGGGTGACAGAGTGCCTCCTAGGGAAACCCCCGCCCGCTGGGGTGCCCACCGCTTTCCTGTCCAGCAGGCACCCGCTGACACCCGAGGGGCTGTAATTCAACATCTTGCTGCTCTGCGGGGACAAAGCAAGGGCCGGTCACGTCACTTCTACTGCCACCACCTCCTCCGACATCCTCACGCAGCCCCGAAGAGCGTGGAGCGGCACCACGCCACCTCCCGCTGCCGCGGCCGGGGAGCGGCGGCCGCCCTGCCCCGACAGCCCCCCGCCCCGCTCCGTCCCTCCGCCGCCCCACGCGCGGGTCCCCCGCCGCGCCCCTCCCCGTCCTTGGCGCGGAGCGGTCCCGGAGCGAACCGAACGCCCGGCGCGGGGGGGCGCCCGAAAACGCCGCGCGGCGGGAGCGCTTCGCTGGGAGCGCCCCCGGGGACGGCGGCGCGCGGGAAGGGCAGCGCGCGGCGCGGCGCCCGCCCAACCGCTCCCGCAGCGCGGCCGGCGAGGGGCGGCCGGGCCCCGCGGGAAGCCAGCCCGCCCGGCCGCCCGCTCTTATCCCCGCCCGGCCCCGCGGCAGCGCCGCCGCCCGCCGCGCCGCGCCCGGGCGTGTTGTAGCGCGGCGGCCCCGGGGGCACGGCAAGGATCCGGCCCCTCCGCTCGGCGCCGCGGCTGAGCCCGCCGGGAGCGCGGGCGGCTCCCCCACCCTTCCTCCTCCGGAGCGGCAGAGGCGGGAAACGCGGGCGGGTGAGACCCCGGCGACCCGAAACGGAGTGGCTGCTCTCGGTTCCCGCCCTGCGCCCTCCGGTCCCAGCGCCGAACTTGCTCGCGACCAGAAAACGAAACGGTGGGGGGGAGGGCAAGGAAAGGGGGGAAACCCGAACACGAACCCTAACGAAACTGAAAAGCCCCGAAGTCGGCGGCGGAACCCCCGCCGGCGCCCTTACCTTGCATAAAACTTCGCTCAAGTCGAAGATGTTGGGCGACACCAGGGCTGTGGACATCTTCGGCGAGCGAGGGGGGAAGCGAGTGGGGCAGCGGCACTCGGACACGAGGAGTCACGGCGTGGGTAAGGCACAGCCTCCAGCGCCCCTGCTCGCAGCCTCCCCCCGCCGCCGATGCCGCCACCAGCCCTCCCGGCTGCCGCGCCCGCTCGCCGCTTCCAGGGGGCTCGCGGAAAGCTCAACTTATAAAGTTTGTGACTTACCCCCAGGAGGAGGAGCCGGCGGCGGGAAAGTGGAGGAGGAGGAGGACAGGGTGATTGACACCGCGACTGAATCACCCGGGCGGGCAGGCCCAAAAAAACTTTCGGGTGGAAGGAGGCGGGGGAGGGACCAGGAGAAGGGGGGAGGGGGAAGAGATGGCAGAGAGCGGCCGGTCGGCGGCGGGCGGGTGTGTGGCTGTGCCGGGCCGGGCCCGCCCTGCCCCGCGCTGCGCCGGAGGGGGCGGTTGTGCGGCCGCACCGAACGACTCCGCGCGCCTGTGCGCGCGTGTCCGTTTGTGCTCGCGTCTCCGCGCGCGCGCCCACGTGCGCGCGTGCCCGCGCGCTTGTCCGCGTGCGTCCACGTTGTGCGCGCGTGTCCGCGTGCGCGCGCGAGCTCCCCTCCGCCGGCGCGCGCCGCCGTGCCGTCCCGCTCCGCGCGGGGGGGGGGGGGCCCCCCCCCCGCGGGGGGG